GTTGCGTCTAGGGATGGGAGACGTCTGCAGCACATGCATTAATTGTAATCCCCTAAACCGCCCTACAGTGGGCAGTGAAGGATTACAGGAATCCACAAAGCCGTAATGGAAGACCAATTGGCTGAGTGAATAGTCCAAAAGGTGATTAGTGGGCTACGATCTAGGCCTAGAAAGATAGGCCACTTGAGTACTTCTACTTACGAAGGAAAACCACCCCCGAAGGAAGCTTGGGCTATAAAAGGGGCAAAGCCCCATACACGAAGGGGATGGATTTCTCGAGTATTGAATAAAAGAGAGAATATACGTGCATGTAAATTGTAAAAGTCCCAAGAGAAATACAATACACAAGTGGATGTAGCCCTTCATTAACAGAGTGAACCACTATAAATTTCGTGTGTCCTCTCATTCAAGCATTATTCTCGTGCTTCCAAAAATACAACAAACACTTCATAGCATAATTTCAAATATACAGTTAATTTCCAGTCGGTAACCCAACGAGATACTAGTGGGTAACCCGGCATATTTCTGTTGACAAAATTCAGTTGTCAACAATTGGCGACTCCACTGGGGAGCGAACCTAGAATCTCTTGTTCATACGTTTGACCCCCGACAACAAAGAAGTAGTCAGCAACCATGCCTCCAAGAAAAAGAGATGTGGCCACCAATCAAGGCAACCAGATGGAGGAAACCACCACACATCCGGTGAATGACGGGATTGAAGAAAACAACCTCCGGTTAGGAATGAAGTTCCACCCCTAGACGTGCCGTGACCTGACCCATTACAAATGCAAGCCCAGCTCACCACTCTGACTGACCTGGTGCGGGGGCTGATGACTGTCGTTGAGCGATTGGATGAAAGAAACTCGATGTCGCCTCTAGAAGACGCCCCGAGACCGCTAGAAGCTGCCGTGGCTGGAAACCATAACCCCGGTGACCACCAAGATATCCCAAAAGGAATCGGGGACTGTGAGAATCTTAGAGGTGATCCCAGGCCTCGGCCTTCCTAATCCGCCGGCAGTCGTCTAAAGGCCGCCGGACTCCAGGCTCCTGAGAACCAAATAGCTAGAGGCCTGGGAAACCCCAAAGTGCCACCTCAGAACCCATGCAGAAACCTTCCAGGAGATGCGGGGTTGGTGCAAGTGGGCAGACGGGCAAGAGGCGAACCCAACGCACAAAGGGCAGAGGCGTCGAGAGGAGCCGGTTCAACAATCTCTACGGAGGAGGCACTAGCCATCATGGAGTGCATGGCCAGCCTAGAGCAAAAGCTCACAAGCGATGTCGCCGGCCTAAAGAAAAATATAGGGTGAGTGACCGAGGTGGTGAACGTTGACATCACACCTAGCCGGATGCACGACCACCCGTTTATCACGAAAATTATGGCACCACCTCTCCCTGATAAGTACAGGTCACCGTCGATCCCATCATATGATGGCAGAGGGGATCCCAACGATCACCTAGAAATGTACATGGGGCACATGCTCTTGCATGGATATGCTGATGAGATCATGTGTCGAGCCTTCTGAAACCATCTAACAGACTCTGCCCGGAGATGGCTTCGAATGCTAAAGCCAAACTCCATCTCAAGCTGAGATGAGTTGAAGGAAGCATTTTCTCTCCAGTTTATGGGAGTGAAGAAATATGTCCCTCCAAAGCAGAATTTGACAACGATATACCAGAATCCAAACGAGTCGTTAAAAGAGTGGCTCGCGAGGTATGGGGAAGCTATCGCCTTGACAACGGATATAACCGACAGAGAGGCCTTGATGGGGGCGTTATCTAGCATGACAAAAATTACCCCCTTCAAGAGAGAGTTGAATCGGAAGCCCCCATCCAGTTACAAAGAATTCCTTGCACGAGTGCAAGGGTACATCAACACCGAGGAAGCAGATGCAAATGACCCCGAGCACAGGTCCAACAAAAACAAAGGGACTGAACAAGGGTCGATGGCAGAAAAGTAGGATGGAAAGAAACGACGAGGCGGAGGAAGCGGGGACAAGCAGCCTGCTTCGGCGTCGAACACTCCAGAAGCTAAAAAGTTGAGATAAGAGGAGAACCACAAGCCTCGACCGTTTCAAAGGTATGATTCCTACCATGAATTAACAGTAGGTGTCGAGGAAGTGTTTAATCAGGTAGATCGTGGGAACTTACTGCGCCGCCCAGAGCCGATGAGGTCAGATCCCAGCCAAAGGAACCAGAAAAAATATTGTCAGTTCCACGGCGACGTCGGCCACCACACCAATGATTGCCCCGATCTTAAAGATAAGATAGAAAAGGTAATCCGTGAGGGAAGGCTGCAGGAGTTCAAGGCCGAGCGGAGACCAAGAAACGATGGCCACGGCGATCAAAATGACGGTCGACGCCGAGAGGAGAACCAGTGACCAGAGGACTGAGAACCTGTCGACGTCATACGAACTGTACTCGGTGGTCCGTATATTGGAGGAGACTCGAGGAGATCTCAAAAAGACTACGCCCACAAAGCCAGAGGGGTGTACGAGGAAAGGTTCTGGAGTGTCTCCGCCACGAAAGCAACAAGGCTCAGCAGCGCTGACATAGCGTTTAATGAGGACGACGCCGACGGGGTTCACTTCCCCCACAACGACGGCTTGGTGGTAGAAGCCAAATCACACCATATGCCGAATCCTGGTCGACAATGGGAGCTCAGTAGACCTCCTATACTCCGACTGCTGAGAAACGATGGGTATCCCAAAGGAGCAATTAGAAAAAACCTCCAGGCCACTGTACGGTTTCACTGGGGACTCTGTCATCCCTCAGGGGACAATCTGGCTGCCTATAACCGCCGGGGAGAAACCTCGGCAAGCCACTATAATGGCCAATTTTGTGGTGATAAAGGAAGGCTCCCAATACAATGCCGTCATTGGGAGGCTGACCTTTTAGGCGTTAAAGGTAATAACCTCTATCAACCACCAGAAGGTTAAATTCCCTACCCCAAACGGTGTAGGTGAAATAAAGAGCAACTAGTATAAGGCTAGGGTTGCGTATTCTGATGCCTTGCGCGAATATGACCAGCCAGGGAGGCAGGAGGCAAGAATGGTCTATCAAGGCACCAGTGAGGACATAGACCGCAGGGTCCAAGAGGAGGCCGCATGGTCTCAACCTGTTGAGCAATTGGTGGAGATCCGAGTCGACGAGGACGAGCCAACCAGAGTGCTGAAAATAGGTTCTGACTTAATCCCATCACTTAGGGCGGAAGTCAAGAGCTTCCTCAAGAAGAACTTGGATGTCTTCGCCTGGAATCATGCAGACATGGAAGAGATCAACCCAGAAGTCATATGTCATTCTCTGAATATCGACCCCTCATATCCCCCCAAACGCCAGAAGCGCCGACCGATGAACCCGGAGAGGTATGAGGCATTGAAAGAAGAGGTCGATAAGTTAATCAACAATGATTTCATTAGAGAGGCCCATTACCCATTATGGGTCTCAAACCCCATTTTGGTGGTCAAACCTAACGGAACATGGAGAACATGCGTCGACTTCAGTGACCTTAACAAAGCATGCCCAAATGATGGTTTCCTGCTCCCTCGAATAGACCAAATGGTCGACGCCACTGCAAGGCATGAGATGCTGAGTTTTATGGATGCCTACTCCGGATACAACCAGATCCTCATGCATCCAACCGACGAGGAGCACACATCCTTCATAATCGATAGAGGTCTCTACTGCTACAAAGTGATGCCTTTTGGCTTGAAGAACGCAGGGGCTACATACCAAAGGCTCGTGAATAAAATGTTTACTCAACTGGTCGACAAAACAATGGAAGTTTACGTCGACGATATGCTTGTAAAGAGTGCCAAGGCCACCCAGCACGTTGATCAGTTGGGAGAAATGTTTGGCGTATTGAGAAAATACCACATGAAACTAAACCCCCTGAAATGCGCCTTTGGAGTTGGATCAGGGAAATTCCTTAGTTTCATGGTTAGTAACCGGGGGACAGAGGCTAACCCTAAAAAGATAAAAGCCTTGCAGGATATGAGGTCTCCAACTAAACCAAAAGATGTGCAAAGGTTGACAGGGTGTGTCACTGCTCTGAATAGATTCATATCAAAGGCAACAGATAAGTGCGTTCCCTTCTTCGATGCTTTAAAAGAAAGTAAGCATTTTGAATGAACACCACAATGTGAAGAGGCCTTTCAAAAATTAAAGGAGCACCTGGGCAGGGCCCCGATCCTATCAAAACCCATCCCTGATGAGGAGCTGAGCCTATACCTCTCCGTGTCACAACACGCCGTGAGCTCCATGCTAATAATAGAGGAAGAAAGGGTCCAGCTGTCAGTCTACTATGTAAGCAAAAGACTCCTCGACGCCGAGTCAAGGTACACTGAAATGGAACAACTAGCCCTCGCCCTGATGGTAGCCTCAAAAAGCTTCGACATTATTTTCAATCTCACACAATACGGGTTCTTACAAACCACCCGTTAAGACAAGTGTTGCAAAAGCCCGAAACTTCTGGTCGACTTCTCAAATGGTTGGTGGAGTTAAGCTAGTTCGACATTAAGTATGTACCGAGAGCAGCAATCAAGGGGCAGGCGCTGGCTGATTTTCTGGCCGAGTTCTCTCATAGATCGACTCTCGCCACACGCGAAGAAGTTGAGACGACGAAGTGGAGGCTCTACGTGGATGGAGCGTCGAGTGAAAATGGGTCAGGAGCCAGCGTCTTGTTGATCAGCCCGGAAGGCCACAAGATTACTTCGGCGTTACGATTTAAATTTAAGGCGCCGAATAATGAAGCTGAGTACGAGGCGCTGATTGCAGGACTACGATTGGTGAGTCACTTGAAAGTCGAGAGGCTCAGCATCTTCAGCGACTCTGAACTGGTCGTTGGACAAGTAAATGAGGAATACCAAGCGTGAGGTGAAAAAATGGGTGCGTACTTAAGAAAGGTAAAGGAATAGCTCGTTAAGTTTAAAAGCTATGAAATACTTCAAATACCACGAGCTGAGAACACCAATGCTGATGCCTTGGCAAAGCTAGCATTGTCAATGGATTCCGACATACTAGGAATCGTTCCTATCGAAGAACTGGAACGGCCGACCATTGAGGAAAAAATAAAGGCCTTGACCATCCAGACGGACGAGGGTTGGATGACGCCACTTATCCAATATCTAACAGATGCAAAGCTGCCAAATGATAAAGGTGAGGCTAGACGAATCAGATATAGAGCCAATAGGTACCTATTATACGACGGCTTGCTTTACCGACGAGGTTATTCCACGCCTTTGCAGCGGTGCCTAAACGATAGTGAAGCCCAGGAGGTCCTCCGGGAAATTCATGAAGGAGTATGCGGTAATCACACTGGGGGCAGTCTTTAGCTCTTAAGGTTTTAAGGCAGGGGTACTATTGGCCTACGCTTAAAAAAGACGCGTTCCAATACGCTTGACTCTGCGATAAGTGCCAAAAATATGCCACAATCCTTAGAGCACCCCCAGAAAACCTAACCCCATTCTTAGTCCATGGCCCTTTGCCAAATGGGGAGTCGACCTGATCAGGCCCTTACATTTCGCACCAGGAGGCTTTAAGTTCGCCATCGTCGCAATAGACTACTACACTAAATGGATAGAGGCAAAGGCTCTAACAACGACCATGGAAGTAGCTTGCACCAACTTCATGCAGAACAACATCGTGTGCAGATTCAGGGTCCCACACTCAATAGTATCTGACAATGGGAAACAATTCGATAATGTCTCAACACGCAGATTCTGCAGCAGCTTAGGTATTCGAAAAGACTTCTCGGCGCCAATACATCCACAGTCCAATGGTCAAGTCGAGGCTGTCAACAAAATATTGAAGTATACCCTAAAGAAGAAGCTCGATGATTTAAGGGGGAGATGGGCAGAAGAACTTCTGAAGGTCCTGTAGGCATATAGAATGACAAGTCGAACCACCACGGGTGAAACACCCTTCTCCATGGCATATGGCGTCGAGGCGGTACTCCCCATAGAAATTGAGACGCCGACTCTAAGAACTGTTGTCTACAATGACGACAGTAATGCAGAAGCCATGAATGGAGAACTCGACCTGTTAGAAGAAAAAAGACTCGACTCCCAACTATGCCTTGCCGCTTATCAGCAAAGGGCAGTACAGTATTACAACAAGAGAGTTAAATAAAGAAGGTTCATCCTAGGAGAACTAGTATTAAAAAGGGTGACGCAGAGTACGAAACCCAAAAATACTAGTCCTCTGGGCCCAACTTGGGAAGGACCCTACCGAATAAGGGAAGTGTTGCGTCCTGACACCTACATTTTGGAAAGCCTCGCCGTCAAACGAATTCAACATCCATGGAATGCAGAACAGCTAAGGCTGTACTACCAATAGTGTATGTAACTCTTATGCATCTTAATTGTATTTTTTGGCAATTTAAATAAACTGATGTTTGTAAAAATATTGTTCAAAAATAAGAAAGGAGTTTACCCCTTAATAACATGTCTGCTTAAAAAACCAAGGTATATTAAACAGACATGGGGGGCAGTAAGGGGTCTATAGAAGACGACGACCCCAATGGGTAAAGTTAACATCGTCTCCTCCAAGGAGGAGAGGCGAACACTTAGAAAATTTTACAGAATTTTCTAAAACGACGACCCCAAGGGGTAAAGTTAACGTCGTCTCCTCCAAGGAGGAGAGGCGAACACTTAGAAAAGTTTACGAAATTTTCTAAAACGACGACCCCAAGGGGTAAAGTTAACGTCATCTCCTCCAAGGAGGAGAGGCGAACACTTAGCAAATTTTACAGAATTTTCTAAGACAACAACCCCAAGGGGTAATGAAAGTGGCGAACAATTATTAAATCTGCTACAAAAACAAATAAAATGAAAGGAAATTCCAATATTATATAAAATGTATAAACATATAACACTACAAAAAAGAAAGAAAAACCCTAAGCATCGCCGCCAGCCACCGAGTCATCACCATCGCCAGGAGGGGAAGAATTACAATCGTCAGCAGGAGGAAGAGGAATATAAAAGAAGCTCAAATCCCACTCGGGATGCTTTTGTTTGATCAGATCGACAATTTGTTGTCCAGCAGACTGAAAGTCCTTGGTGCGAATGTCGATGAGCTCCGGAGAAGCCTTGAACTCCTCAATAATCTCTGCGCGCTTGGCGTCGAGCATTGTTGAGGCCTCGGCTTCAGCTTCCTTCTTCCCTTAAGCTTTTCCCTTGGCCAAGCACTTCTTCACAGCCTCAGTAGCTTCAGCTGATTTCTTCTCATAAGCTTCCGCTCGTTTTGTAAGATCTTCAACCGCAGCCTTCAAACTGGCCAACTCATTTTTAAGACTCGGTAGTTTGGCCAGTTCCCCTTCCAAACTCGCCAGCTTGGCCACGGCCATGTCCCTATCCTCGACGGCAGACGAGCACTTTTCCTTGGCAGCGTCGAGAAGAGATGTAAGCTTGGCTTCCAGGCTGTGCATCTCCTTACCACGTTCCTCAACCTTGACTAGATCAATGAAATTGAGAATGGCAAGGACTAGGCCTTGAGAAATTGGAAGTCAGAAAATAAAGATGCGAATGATGAATCTAAAAATAAAAAAAAGCACGGTCGAAGCTTACATGAATCTGGAAGGAAATCTGCCTGCGCTGACAATCCACCAGAGAAGACTGAGCAGTGGAGATCCAGTGTGGCTCAAGGAATGATTCATATAAGGCTTGGAAGACGAGGGAGAAACGGGGAGGAAGCTTCAGCATGGCCCCAATCTCGGTGTCAGAAATGTCCGAGACTTGGAAATTGGAATCAATGATTTTTGCACCCGGCATAAGCACGCGTTCCTTAGGCGCTGAAGGAATTCCAGCAATGTCGGGGATTGGAACTGCCAGCATCTAAGTCTCGATCACCGGCACTTTCTCTTTGCGCCCTTTTTTGGGCGCAAGAGCTTCCACCCCTGACCCCAAAGAAACCTCCGCGGTTTTCCTTCTCTTCGGCGCCGGGGAAGAGGTGATGGCTTTCTCTTTTCCTTTAGATTGAGGCGGCGGGCCAGGCTGAGGCTGCTGGTTGCCAGGGAGCTGAATCCTCAAAGAAGCCATTTCTGTACAAATGACCAGTCAGAATGCAGTCAACGTACAGTTATGCCAAATAAGATTAAGGGAAGCGTCGAGCCCAAGAGTTTACCTTTGTCGCTTAGATGAATATTCACGGACGGAGGGAAGATCAGAAGGGTCTGGAAGGTCAAGAATCAACCATGCCTCTCTAAGGTTGGACTCGGTCAAGAGGGTGTCGATATGGCGAGCCTTCTCCGAGTACAAAAATGCCTTTACAACCCTCGCCATTCTGTTCCCAGCGAGCTTCGGCCGATCGTGGCTGACTACAGGATAAAAGAACTGTCAGCGCTATAAAAAAAAGAGAGAGAGAAGAGAGGGAAAGGGATAGAAATGAAGTGTCAAATTCTCACCCATATTCCCAAACGACATTTGTACCTTCCTTCGGCGGGGCATACGGTCGTCGGGGTGAAAATTAAAGGGCTCCCGTATCATGAAAAACATGGGTTTCCACCCATGTGACGACGAGGGAATATCTCGTATCAGCGTACAAAGCCTAGGCTTAGATCGCCCATGCCTACTCAAAAAATACCACCCCTCGCATTTGGTGACGTGGCATAATCTATACATAAACATAAATTCATCCAGTGGTAGGTCCATATCAAACCGCTGGCTCTAAAAAACCTAGGCGCCGGCAAAACAATACCAAAAATTCGGCGCCAATTGGGCATGAGAGATACCATAAAAATGGCAGTAGTCTTTAACGAATGGATGAACGGGTAAGGTCATCCCTGTCGTAACAGCCCGAGTATATACGGGGAGATATCTGGTAGGTCCTAAAATGTACATCCGGGAGGAGGTACTCAAATTACCTCCCGTCGATCTAACCTTCTTTAACAGCCCAAATAATGTCTTTACTTCAGACCTTCAACGCCACGACATCGGCCGTAAAAAATGGCCTGTCTGGGTCTCTGCTCGTAGCAGCCAAGGGGGCATCCACCACTGAAGTGGCGACCCCACATACGCTGCCTCCCATGAAAGGAATCTTATTAACTTTTTCTTCCATCATACGGTCGACGCTGTCAAACTCATCGTCGAAACCCTCGCTTGGTCGGCCCATGTATTTTTCTATTTCACTCAATATTGAGTCGCCGTCTCATGAGGAAGATGACCACGAAATCTCCACCACGGAAGGGGAGTCTGGTCATACAACGGACATGTCCTCTCAAAGGGTGGGGTTTGAGGCCATTGTTCTGGTGGTAAAAAAGACAATGAGCTAAGTTAAAATCCTAAGTCGAGAGGGCGGAGTAAACGATGACTGTTCTAAAATGACGATTGCTTAATAACCACTGGCGCCTCTTAACATAACGTCGACCATTCATATAAAAATGGTAACGACGAATGTTTATGAACAACCGAGGTTCATTAGAACCCAGGAGTTAGAGACCACAACCAGCCAGAAATCAGAAAAACTATCTTACGTGGGTCAAACAAAGCATATGGTAAAGTCTCTATCCTCTACATTTCACATATTAACATGCGTATGGTCCAATAAGAAAGCTAGTAAAGTTATTAAACAGTATGAACGGGCCATTGCCAAGCTTACCGGTGAGTCAGAATCTGGGCAAAGTCGGGTTCCGAGATAGCTTCACAAGGCACCAAGAAGAGCAAAGGATGCAAGTCGGAATCTACAAGAAAGAACTCAGGCAGAATAACGGCAGTTCAAGATAAAATGGCTTTGGTTCGAGGAATATTTAAAGGAAAACGAGCCCCTTGACCCCTGACTGTCGGATGAAGTTCAAAAAATCTAACGGCAGGGGAATTTTGCCCAGATCTGATGGCAACAAACAAAGGCGGGAAGATGAAGGGGCACGATCCAAGGGCTCGTATTCGCCTGTTCAAAATAAAGCCTTACGTCAGCTTGGTGAAATGACCGACGCGACGATTACACTCCTCGAGGAAAGCCAAAGCATCAAGACTATCATTACGGAAGAAGGCTCGGAATTAGGTTCCCACACCCGAGGCACAGAAAAACACCCGAACCTAGCTCGAGGTTGTCTAAAGGAAACCCTCGACCTGGGGGGCAGTTGTTGTGTGGGAAAATATGGGTGACATGTGGAACGACGACAGTGTGACACATGGCCCTACTTTCCCTCAAAAGATGACAACCCTCGACGCTTGATGCTCGCTTCCCCTCTACGCCGCAAAGAAAGGCCCAACTCAGGACGTCGACAAGTTGTGCCGTCGAACTTATGGCAACAGTTCTTCTGGAAAGGGTCGACTGCCAGAAAGGACATAATGTTTACACATCACAGACGACGAGGGGACTCTTCAGAAAGGAGCCTGACATCACAAGTTGCGTCTAGGCATGGGAGACGTCTGTAGCACGGGTATTAATTGCAATCCCCTAAACCGCCCTACAGTGGGCAGTGAAGGATTACATGAATCCACAGAACCGTAATGGAAGACCAATTGGCTGAGTGAACATTCCAAAAGGTGATTAGTGGGCTACGATCTAGGCCTAAAAAGATAGGCCACTCGAGTACTTCTACCTATAAAGGAAAACCACCCCCGAAGGAAGCTTGGGCTATAAAAGGGGCAAATCCCCATACACGAAGGGGATGGATTTCTCGAGTATTGAATCAAAGAGAGAATATACGTGCATGTAAATTGTAAAAGTTCCAAGAGAAATACAATACACAAGTGGATATAGCTCTTCATTAGCAGAGTGTACCACTATAAATTTCGTATGTCCTCTCATCAAGCATTATTCTCGTGCTTTCAAAAATACAACAAATACTTCATAGCATAATTTCAAATATACAGTTAATTTCCAGCCGGTAACCCAACGGGATACCAGTAGGTAACCCGGCGTATTTCTGTTGACGAAAT